CTTGTTTTCTTATCAACAATTATTGATGAAATTGTTTCATTTTGTTTTATTTTTACAAAGCATATAATGGTAAATGCATTGACTCTATGAAACGTGTTCGTATTTAGAGAAATTGGCTGATAAAATGGGTGCATAAAGAAAGTAAAACTATTTCATAATTTATAAGAAAAATGTTGTGTAATTAACGAATAGTGAAACAATTTCATCATTGATGAAATTGTTTCATTTTTTTTTAAGTTTTCTTTGAATGATTTTGTTCACTTAATGGTTAACAAAGCATGTAGTGGTAAATGCATTGACGCAATGAAACGTGTTTGGATTGAAAAAAATTTGCCGATGAAATGAGTGCATAACGAAAGTGAAATCATTTCATAATTGTTAAGAAAATGTTGTGTAATTAGCGAACAGTGAAACAATTTCATAATTAAATTGAAACGGATTCATCTACCAATAACATGAAAATGACAAATGTCTCATCTAGCATTACGTTGATTTGTGTATTGATAAAACTGTGAAACCATTTCGTTCATGAAATGTAGTAGTAAATTTTTATTATTATTATTCAAAAGGTTTCATTATGTTAAATTGATTATAGTGTGTTTTATTTTTATTGTTGATCTATTTTAATGATGGATATAATTTTATTTATAATATTTGAATATAAAATTAATATATTATTTTACAAATGATTTTGTTTCATTAATGTTACGATATACATGATATTGTTGTCATCAATATTACCACTATCAAAGTTACCATTTTGCCCTTATAGGAATTATAAAATAATTTTTTTTTAATTTTCTAATATAATCTAAGCTAATCTTGACCATTGATCAAGAAAATGAATGGATAAGATTGGCTTACATGATTTACACAAATGAAAGCGGTTTTCATTTGAAATAGTTAAAGAAAAACTCAAGAACCACTAGTACATAGATATATCTATGGCTAGGATAAATTTTAGTGTATTTTCTATTGATACTTTAGATACTTGATAATACTGATAGTTGTTAGGTGGAATACCATGTAATATTCTAGATTGATATAACCTATATGAGATTTATTTGGGGTCACATGTTTGAGAAGTGACATGTCTAAGTTCTCATAATTATCATGAAGACGGATTTCCCAAAACTGAAATGAACACAACAGTAAGAATTAAATTATGTATAGATCAGAGTCGTCTTTTAGCATGTTAAATGCGAGATTTTGAACAGGGCCTCTAAAATTTTGGGGCCCAATTTTACATATGTTTAGGCCATTTTCATCAATTTGTGTAAAACTATAACCCAAATTGTGTAGGTTCGAATTATTAATTGTTTAGGTTTAGATTCAAATTATTAATGATTTAGGTTAAGGTTAAGTTCGGATTGTTTATCGCTTAGGATTAGCATCCCTTTATGCTTAACATATATGTATTATTGTTATCTCTTATTCAATGCCATCAAAAGTTCTGGATGTAATAGGGTCTCCAAAAATATTGGAACATCCCTGGTATAGATATGATATTTGTTATACTTATCGTCTTTATTAATTATAAATGTGGTTAGTTCAAGACTGATGTTCACTACCCACAAAGTAGGTTCGATAAGTATAGTCACTATGAAAAGTTCAAGTCTAACTAACAACTTTCTCCGAATATGGTTTACATTATCAAACTATAAGCAACAATTAACAAATGATTAAGAGTCGAAAATCAATTTATCCTGAGATGTCGCTAAACAAACACTCTTTGTATCAAACCAATACATTCTCTACAGGATTCTGCTCAATCATGAGCAATCCCGTCACCTAAAAAAGGATCTCCTTAAAAAATCTAGAGAAATGAAAAGTTTTCCCGTAGTTTTGATCTCTGGAACTCCTTTAGCAACTCCTTCTTGATTTGATACAGAAGTATTAAAAAGTTGACTAAAATGTGTTGTTTCACTATATAAACTTGTGTTATTCAAATGGAAGTTCAGCCCCAATTTTAATACCCCACGTAGTTAATACTACTGATGTTAAAAGATGCATCGGAGAAGGCCGTTTCTAGGCGATGATAGAACATATACTTCTCCTAGTTTTATTAAACAAAATATAAAATTTAATTGACTAAAAGTTTCATGACCGTCTATTAATTATTTTTTCAGAAAGTAAAATGTACTCGTGTAATTCATAATATACATCTCGATTTTTTTAATGTTTCGTCTTATTTTTTGTCTATGTCGATGTTATAATACAGTTTTATGTGGTTTTGAGAAAACGATAATGTTTTAATTTTAATGAAATATAAATCTGAAGATATCATAAAAATTTGAAAAATCGATCAAATTAACTATTTAAAGGCTCTCATCTTTTAGTGTAATTTTTTAATCATATTTTTTAATTATGTTTTAGTTTAGGGTTAATAGCGAAGTAATTTATTTTTTCTTCAATAATATAATTTTTTTATAAAAATAATGATTAAGTATTATGTTAGAATTAAATAATTATCTTAATTATATTTTAAATTTTTTATATTTAAAATGAGATATTTATCATGAATTTGATTATGTTTATCTACAGCTATTTACATGAATTCAAACACGAAGCTCTGATAAGTTGTCTTTACGTACAATTTACTTGTAGTATTGAATTTTAAATGATATGCATTAATAAAAAATAATGCATCAAATGGTTTTTAAGAGTTTTTATAAAATGTTTTATAATATAATATAGATATATTATCAAGGTCGATTTTATAATATCAATGGAAAAACTTAGACCATCATTTTGTAATGGCAATTGGAATGATATTAACTCCTATTTATTCATTATCTATGCCACACCAGATGTTTTATTTATTTTTCTTTCTTTGATGGAAGGTAAAGGTCATTTTTTAAATGGTAAGAGGGATCTTGAACTAAGAAATAGACTTTAAAAACTAAAATAGGGTATCCTGAGCAATTGGTAAGATCTAGTATGGATTGGATGGTAGTTGGAGTCGGCGACTCTCCTAGGTTTCACTTATCAGGGATCCTAGGGAAGAGGATCAAGTTGGTATCAAATACCCATAGAGAGCGATTTACAGTACTTGTATGCAACCAAAATTTTATTAAAAATGGGAGCGTATGGAACTATGGACTGATTCAGATTAATATGGAATTATAACATGGGGCTTTCTGTTGGGATATTGGCTTTAACGTTTCCCAACAACCCAAGCAATGAACAATTATAGAAAAATTAAGAAGAAAAGAATTTACATAAAGACTCCAACTATGGTTGATGTTTGTTTGATGAGTTGGTTTGTCTCATCCTTGTGACACGACAAATTGATGTTTGATGCGATAACTATTGTTTATATATTGACTTTCAAGTTTGACTTTCTAATTTTTTTGGTGATTTTCACCATTTAAAGATGTTAGGGGATTACTCACTAGACCTTATGGTATAATCCTCATTTTGTTTTAAAAATGTGCATTTCAGGACAGTACATCCGGAAGGTAAAGGAAACGGGAAGATGTGAGTGGAAGTCTCTTAGTTTTTGCATTTTTGATTATATACTAAACTTGAGTTTCGTGGAAGTTGTTCATTACATAAGCTTGGGAACCTGTTATATTCAAGTCATGTAATTTAAACAAAAAGTTTGTAATGCTTTTATAAGTACCGTTGTGTATATTTTGGACATATATGTATTATTCTGAAGTTTTTTTTTAAGTATATAATATTTATATACGACAAATGCAACAAATAAACTCACACACCCTCCTCACCGTTGGTGAGGTTTGAACCCTTGACCTCCTAGGAGGCCAATGACTAGGATATCGCTAGGCCGAAGGCCCTTTGGTATTATTATTCTGAAGTTCATGTTATGTGAAACATGTATTATATATGCACATATGGGGAGTGGTCTTACAAAATGCATAGAATGTAAATGTGCATAAATGAAGAATATTACTGTAGCAACAATCAAGTACCAAAAGCTTTCAAGATTAAAATTAAAAGGCAAAAAGGTTTAGAGACCAGAACTTGTAGTAAGTTACAAACTCCTTACTTGCTTACTTACAATAAAACTAGAGTTCACTATTTATACTAGCATAAAACACAAAGTAGGAAGTACAAAAGTAAACGTCCATGAGGTATTATCCAACATACAAACATGGAGTCAACTCCTACTCAAACTAGGTACTTTTAAGTAGGCATCATTGGCTAGATCTTTTCATTTCTCCTCCAGATATTTTGTTGACTTCATCAAAAGATGTTTCCATTCAAAAATTAAGCGTCAAGATTTTTCACTAGCCCTTAGTGGTTGTGATCTGCTCTCCCTTGCTATAGTAGTAACTACTCTAGTAACACACTAATTAGCCAAATTACTCAAAAACAAGCAAACAAAACCAAATCCTACAATTTAGCTCTAGACCTTAATAAGATAAGAAATATGAATAAAAACTCAATATGTGTTATAGGAATTATAAAACTAAGCAAAATAAGATCCTAATTAAGTGCTCAAGAGTTATTTCTACACCCTTGTCACTAACTTCTTTCTACTCTCTAAAACAAAAGAACAAAGAATAAAATAATTAAAGTATATTTTACTGGGATGACTTGAAACCTAAACCTTAAACCCTTTTTTATAAGTATGAAATCCCTTTCATCTTTCATTACTCCAGGACAAACCCTTCAAGCTTTTCTTTTCTCTTAATAAAAAATTCTCTAAGGTGGAGTTTGATTCACAAAATGTTTTTGGATGGAATGAAATCTGTCAAAGGAATTTGACTTTAAAGAAATTGGAATAAAATGTTTTCAAGTTTGACCACCTGTTTGTTTGGCATAATTAGAATGTAATCTATTAAAGGAATTGGAATTTGTCCGTTTGATTCACAAAATGTAGCTTTAAAATACCCTTTTTGATAAATTAATTTTTTTAATTTAAAATATTTTAATATAATAATTATTGATTACTTAAAATTTTTTAAAGTAAAAATACTTTAATAAAATAATAATATACACAACTCAAATATAACCATACACCAAATGACGTTACTAAATAGATATTAAAATTGCTTCAAAATCCATCAAAAATGTTCAAAATAATTACATGCCACCATCATTAAACAATCGTACATATGATGCCAAAATACTAAAGCATGTTCAAATACATGTTCCAAAAGTCATTTAGCTTCATAGTTTTCAAAAAAGGATTAAAAGCACAATCATTCTTGCAAAATGTACCTCACAAACTCTTCTCGAGCTTCTCCTTCATAGTTCCAGAAGCTTAACACGGATTGAGGTTCACGTATTATTTTTCTCAGTGCTTTAAACTTTTCCATTGAAGTAAAATTCATTTTGGCGAGTTCAGAACCAACCATGGAAGTCTTTTGATGTAAATCTATCTCAACTTGTACCAACTTGTCCGATGATTTTAAAAGTCTATCTCCAAGCATAACAGCAACATTAGTTATTACATCAATAAGAGGATCACCTCGACCCTTGCGCTTTCTACTACCTTGAAATGTAGACTCTTGACTTGGCATTTGGCTATCTTCTGTCGGATAGTCCATGTTTTTATCAGATTGTTGTTCTTGAAAGGGCATCTGGTAATCTTCCATGTCAGCATTTTCTTCTAAACCATCATAGTCTCTTGCCTGATTTCCATGAGCACGATCTTTTCCAGAAACATAAGACAAGTCTTCAAAATGAGAAAATGGTTTGTTTCTCTATTTTGAAGCCTCTTTGTGTACCTAAATTTGCAAAAGACATAGAAACGTTGAAAAAACAATTTTTAACATGGTAATATATAATATATAGTCATATGTACCATTATATTTAATAACGATAAAAATCAAATTGTACTATTATATTTAATAACGATAAAGATCAAATTGTACCATTAAAATTAATAACGATAAAGATGAAATTGTACCTAAGATAAATAATTTCCAACACAGTGACTCCCCCGGTACTTGGCACTTATATCACTCATACCCATTTCTCATATGGCATTTTGTTTTGCACTCTCTTTCGGTGCACTGACATTCAAAGTTCATCTTAGCCTAATATAAAGATTGCAGATGTAACATGACATGTTTGGAGTTAAGGGCAGGGGTTCAATGAATGATGCTATTACTAGACTGCTGTATGAATCGTGGTTAATTGTAACACAATGTACTGATGTCATGACTTTGTAAATTGCAATGACTTTGCAACTTATCGATGTAGGCTTCTTCGTTTGCTTGGATTCTTTCCTGTCTGTGCTAACTATCATGCCAATGAGGATTCTCACAACCTTTTGGAGGCTTCTAAAAACTTGGTATATTCTGTTGCAATCTCAAACTGTAGGTCATCAAGTCAGTGATTTCTTGAACTTACTTTTTACCAGCTTAATGATAAGAAGTTTTGAGTCGGTCAACCGTTTTGTAATTTGGAAGTGGAACTAGCAAGCAGTCATTATATGCCAAACATTTGTTCTATCCTATGTTTTTGCTATTCATTGGTGACCCTTCTTTTCTTTACTATACTTTCTTCATATACTGTAACGAGTTAACAAACTTCTAGTTTTGGGTATTGTAATACAGTGCTTATGAAATAAAACAATAGTAAGATACAAAGTACAGTGGTTCTCAAGTCTAATGGATCCTAAAAAGGTCAATCCGCTAACCGTGGAAAGCAGCTGCACCTTTTATGGGATGCTAAAAAGCCTGCGTGTTTTTAAATAAATATTCACCTGTTTCACATACCTAATATTTAAGATCAAATTGTACCATTATATTTAATAACGATAAATATCAAATTGTACCATTAAATTAATAATAATAAAGATGAAATTGTACCATTACAAACCATAAAAATGAAATTGTACTATCAAATCAAATAATGGTGTAAAACTGCACCATTATGTCCTACAAGACTCCAACAACAATACCAAAATGAAATTCACCTCAATCCCATTGGTAAAGACGGCCGTTTTGGGTGAAACTAGAAGACGGCCGTAACCGTTGGTAAAGACCGCCGTTTTTGGGTGTAAGACTGCATTTTCTGTTTACATGATACGAGTAGTTTACAGGTTTTCTATATATTATGTTGGCATGTGTGTAGGAGGAGGCATTTTCTGTTTAAACCACTTCTATGAAACAGTCCGTTAGCCAGCCCATTCGAAAATGGTATAATTGGGAAATTGGTGGGTAAGGCCAAGGCTTAAGGCTTATGATGGTTTGGTTTGCCATAAGGCTTATGATGGTTTGGTTTGCCACAAGTAAATACATAGAAATCAGCGGTGCTCTGTTTCTGTGGTTGGCCATAAGTAAATACATTAGTTTGTGATTTAATGGAAATTTTTAGTTGAATAACTTTTGCTGGCATTTGGTTTCTTGTTATAAGCAAACACTTGTTCTTGCTTAAATTCAAACAATAAGAATTATTCGCAAAAAAATTATAGCTTTTGGACAAAAATTGCTAAGTATGAACGGTTATTATGCATTTGCACATTCTCAGTTTGTCCAGAATTGGTAGTTCTTGCAAACCACAGTGTTTGTTTTTGAAATTTTTTTCTTCGAGAACTGTGGTTAGTTTGTAATGAAAGTTAAGCAAGATAACTTGAGCTACAAGTAAACCAAACCAAACAACCCAATAAATTCCACCACGCATAACTTGAACTACGATTGAACTAATCTGGGTAGAATTAGTCAATTGGCCATGGAGTGCATTTGATTAGAGTTCACATGGCAATATAAGCAATAGAAACCAGTACTACATATGGTAGAAACCAAGCAATAGAAACCACTTTACACTATATATACAATACACAAATGTTAGAAACCAAGCAACATTAATCAAGAAATTGAAAAAAAACAGAAATCGAGCAACAGAAATCAAGCAATGGAAATCGAGCAACAGTAATCACGCAATAGTAATCAAGCAATAGAAATCGAGCAAAAGATTAGCAAAAGAAATCGAACAAAATCGTGCAAGTAGATTCATAATCGTGCAAGCAGATTCAAAATCGAGCAAGAGAGAGAAACTAAATCGAGATCGAGCAAGAAGAAACCGAAAGATGAGAAATCAAACCTGTAACTGTGTTCGATGGAGAAGCAGCAGATCGAGCATGTTGTCGGCTTTTGTGATGTTAGGGTATTATGAGATTGGATGAGTGGTAGATTGGGAATTATGAAAATAATAAATTTTATTCCATTAAAATCTCAATTATTTATTAAGGAATGTTAAAATTTCTATTCATGAAATTTACGAGAATTTGAAGATTCTTTTCCATTAAAAAGAATAAAACAAACGAGAGAGGATGAAAGCATTAAAAAAAATAAACTAAACGAGAGAATGAAATTTGATCAATGAAATTCAACATTTCGATTTTATCAGATTCCTTCATAATTTACGAACCAAACGTTATCCTTAAATATTGTTGAACACATATTTGACATACACACACATCCACATCCAATTCAATAAGAGATGTATGTTGTAATTTAGTTTATTAATACCAACAACATGTATCATATGAATCTTAAAGGTTTTAATTGTTTTACCATTAGAAACTGTAATTTTAAAAAAAAAAATGGGAAGATGAAACAATTTCACATATTATGGTGAACAAAAAGTTCATTGTTATGTCTCCATAAAGTATACAAGACAATCCACACCCATGAAATCTTAATCATCTTTTAAATATGTCACATGAGATTTTATAATTATCTTGCTACACTGGTTCAATATCATACATCTCTCAAAAATAGTCATCAACTATTTAATCATTTGTAATACTTTGATTTATTTTACTAAGATTTATTGTTATATATTAATAATACAACTATTCTATCTACTGCTTTTAACATTTATAAAACACATTTTGTTTTATCATTTATAACGCATATTTCCATCATTTATGCATATTTTATTTTAATAATATATGAAATTAACTAAACACTAATAAATAAAATAAGTTATATAAAGATTAAATTAACAAGAAAGTTTTTAAGTTATCTACAAGTGGGATCCGTAGAGATAGAAACCGGAACCGGAACCGAAACTGATGGTTCTTAAGATATTGGAACCGAAACCGGTTAGAGCGGTTCTTGAATTTTTGGAACCGGAACTGGAACCGCCGGAAACCGGTTCCGGATACCCGCTTCTTAAAATATTAAAATTTTGTTATTTAGAAATAAAAAATAAAACATTGGCAAAACACTAAATAAATAAACAATAATACAAATTATACGGAATAATTGTTACAAATATTGTTTAACGATTACAAACCATAATATATTAATAGTAAATGTTGAAAGTTTACATACTATAATTGTAAATGTTTAAAGTTTAACGATTACATACTACAAATCCAATTAAACATATGATTTGAAAAAATACGAATCATTTTATCTCAAATTCTTAATCTGGTTTCAACTTCTTGCATACTCGCATTCTCAACCTCGTACGATACCTGTGAATAATTGAGTGTAAAAAAACTACACAAACTCGTAAAAAACTGCACATATTTTTAACTAAAAACTACACATATATTTAACAAAAAACTACACAAATTTTATATAAAAAAAACTGCACAAACTTTGTATAAAAAAACTGCACATATTATATAAAAAACTGCACATATTTTTAACATAAAACTACAAAAATTACATAAAAAACTGCACAAATTATATAAAAAATTAATTATTATTTTTTTAATTGAAAAATACCGGGTACTCACCGGTTCTGGTTAAGGGTACCCGCCGGTTCCGGGTACCCGGTCCTAGAGGGTACCCTGCGGGTAACGGTTCCGAAAAATTGAGAACCAAAACCAGAACCAGAACCAGAACCATTCTCAATCGGTTCCGTATTTTAGGAACCGGAACCACTCATATCGGTTCCGGTTCCGGAACCGGCAGTTCCGGTTCCGCAAGTGGGTACTCAGTTCCGCTGCTCACCTCAACTTGACATTGCAAAATTGAGTTTGAATATTATTAGAAAGGGTAGTTAAAAGATGTTGATCATCTCTCATTGATTTGATGATAATACATTTTACCTTACACGAAGTATTCATGTTTCTGTCTTTCAGTTCCAGAGATCACAGAGTCTGTTCAGTAATCGCTGAAGAACTTGTAATGTAAATCCATCAGCGACAGTGATACTTCAAGAAGACAAAACTCACACCAAAGAACATTCAGCGAAAGTCGAAGACTGAAACTGAAGATTAGAGACTGGCAAGTACGTCATCTGAAGCGGTATTCAGTAATTACAACCTAGTCTACATATGTGTAAAGACTGCCCAAGCCTCAGCGAATGCTGAAGAGACCTTCAGGATTATCCCAGCATTCAGCGATCAAAAGAAGCTTGTGATCATGATTGTTTTTGTCTTGTTCTTATACACACAAAGGACACACCCATACCCTTTCTAAAAGATAGTACGGTACAGAGCCGATTAGTTGACTCTACTACCCACCAACTTTGTGAAAGGATGTCTGCTCGTGAATAGGCTTTTGTACTATTCACTGTAGCAAAGGACAAGTCTTTCTCTAAAGGCTTGACACGTGTTCTAAACCTACCACGTTGCATAAATGGGTATAAATAGATGTGTTCTATCTCCATACAAAGATACTCAATATACACTTTGAACTTACTTACGCTTAATTAAAAAAACACACACATCTAAGAACAATACACTCATCTTCAAAAGCAAGTTAGAATCTCTTTATTGTATTCTAAATAGTTCTCTCCCAGATAGAACTTACTTTGTTCTAAGTCTTTAAAAACAAATCTTTTCTTTATTTGCTAAGAATTAGTGTGTAACTTTAGATTGTCTAGATAGGTTTTATTTACCTTATCTTTTCGCAAACAATCTTGTAAAATCTATATTGATTCTTCTTTATCAATATACATTTTAAATTTGAAAAGTTTACTATGTTTATATTCATCCCCCCCTTCTACAAACTGTTATACACATCTTGTAGACCCTAACGGGACCAACAAATGGTATTAGAGCAGTGTATTCTCTATTCTAGTTGTTTAGTTGTTTTCTGCATTACATTATCTCTTTCTTTAGATAATCTTATTGCTTTCAAATGGCTTTACAAAACATAAACACACACTTTCAAGATAATGGCTCTCTTGCCAAACCTCCCCGTTTTATCCAAGACAACTTTAGTCTTTGGAAAAATCGGATGTCCCTCTTTCTGGAAGGTGTGGATCCTGAAATTCCACACTACATAGAAAATGGACCATATGTTCCATATGATATTTCTCCGGATGTTCCTGAGACAGCTACGATTGTCGCAATTCCTGAGCGGCAGATTCCAAAGCTCCCTCATCAATGGAGCGATGAAGATGAGAAGAAGATAACTATAGACACTCGTGCAAGGTCTATAATAGATATATCTTTTCCAAATGAGGTTTATCACTTTGTGATGAAACTCAGAACCTCTAAAGCCATGTGGGACACTTTATGTGTTCAATATGAAGGAACTTCTCAGGTTCTAGAATCTAGGAAGATTAATCTAGTAAGACAATATGAAAGTTTTCTTTGTGGAAAGACTGAGACATTATCTAAAGTACATCAACGTTTTAACTGTCTTCTTATTGATTTAAGAACTGTAGGCAAGGAATATTCTAATTCTGAAACTTTAACTAAGTTTCTAGAATGTCTTCCTAAATCTTGGGATACTTATTCCATGTGTCTCAAGATGTCTAATGACATGTCCTCTCTTTCTCTCTTTACTCTTTACAGGATCTTGCTTAATCAGGATCAATCTCGTCAGCTGAAAAAAAATTTGATTAAAGATTCCAGGGAAATGAAGAGTTCTCCTTTAACTTTAATCTCTAAAGAAGCTTCAGCTGAAATCCCATCTTTTTTTCTTCTTCTCTTCCTTCTGTTGTTATTACTGAGTTAGATTCTACTAACTCTGAGGATGTATAAGAATTTGATATTGCAGATTTTGATGACTCGCTGGCATTATTAACTAAATCTTTTAGGAGATTCGCCAATAAACGTAACTTCTGTAGATCTCCTTCATTGACCATAAAGAAAAAGCCAAAGTTTGATAAGATAGACAAGGCTTTAGCGATCTGCTACAACTGGCACCGCACAGGTCACTTTGCTGGTGAATGTAGATCCAAGAAGGCTGTGACGCCATCTTCCAAAACCCATCCTCCTTCAAATCCAGGGATGATAAGTACCTGAAGCTGAAGGAGAATGAGAAGTACAAGAAGATGAAGAACAACCAGCGAAAGGCCAAGGGTCTTGTCACTGAGAGCATGATTGGGCTGATTCATCTGATGAGGAAGATGCGGCCTATCTCTGCTTAATGGCCAAAGATGTCAAAGAGGAAGCTCCAGAGACATAAACTTCAAATGATCCCTCATCATCTTCACCTGCTCAGGTATGTATTCTGAATGAACCCTCTTCTTCCTCTTCTTCTAGCCTACTAGCGTTAGACATGCTGACAGTGGATCTTTACAATACCCTGAATGACAAGTCTAAAGCAGAAATGCTTAATCTTGATCTTTAAGAACAGTTGAAGATTTTTCATTCAAAGATCAAAGAGCTGACCAAGGTTGAAAAAAACCTTAAGGATGATGTCATTGTGAACCATGCCATCATTGTCGAACGTGAACAGGCTATAGCTGAGCGTGAGCGAGCAATCGTTGAATTTAAGGCTGAGAAGGTTACCATAGAAGGATGGTGCAAAGCCTCCGTCAAGGCCTCTGAGATCATTACTGCTCAGATTCTGGCCAAGATAAAGACTGGTATTGGATTTTTCTATGATCAGGAAGACAATGTCACTGGCAAGTCCATGCTCAAGTTTGGCACATTTGTCTCTTCTATTCCTGACACTTTTTCCTCTCAGTTTTCTTTAACTTCATAACAGAGTGATAAAACCTCGTCAAGAAGAGGCATGGCTATTATAGATCTAGCTCAAGTATCTAAAGCCATTTTATTCTTTGCTTCTCATTCCATTGATAAAGTAGTTTCGAAATCTGTCTTTTAGGAATGGCGGCAGTCATAGCAATAGCAGGAACTGCTAGAGAAATTTCAAATAGAACATAAGATCCATTTTCAATATAGAATCGAATCTCAGGATCTACACCTTCTAAGAAAAGAGACATCTGATTCTTCCAGAAACTTAAGTTGTCT